TTTGAGGCTTAAGGCTGGTTTATACTTCTGCGTTGAGTGATTGGCGTGAACAGCGCGGTGCTTGCCTTGTGCGTAGTCGTGCATATATACTTCTGTGTGCTGTTTGTGTTGCTCTGCAATAACAATTCTGACACGCTAGCTGGCAGTATGTTTGCATGTTCCTCTGTGTTCAGTTTCTTAAAATACGTAGCTAAAACTTGCCTATTCAGAGGCGGGAACCGGCGGACGTGCAACAACATTAATCATAAGGTAAACACAAAACAAAAGTTTCCATTTGGAGCTCCTTCGTAGGGCTTGACAACTGTAAGTGTAACGGAGGCCAGCTAGTGTGTGCTGTGCAGGTAAACCTCACTCCTCTGACCTCTAAAGGTGCTCTAGCAGCGGACGCTAGAGGCCATGGTTTTTAGCCTCCTTGTTAGAGCAACCGACTCCCATGTGGAAGGTCGCCGGTTCGATCCCAGCTCGGAGCGGGTTGGGTGGTGTAGGACCGGTGGGGTTACATTGGTGCCGTGACCCGGATGGGAGTGAGGTTTAGGGGGGTGAGTGTAACAGAGGCCAGCTATTGTGTGCTGTGCAGGTAATCCTCACTCCTCTGACCTCTAAAGGTGCTCTAGCGACAGACACTAGAGGCCATGGTCTTTAGCCTCCTTGTTAGAGCAACCGACTCCCATGCGGAAGGTCGCCGGTTCGCTCCCAGCTCGGAGCGGGTTGGGTGGTGTAGGACCGGTGGGGTTACATAAGCAATCGCTGCATATGGCTCACGGCTCTCAGCACCATCCATGCTTGTCAGCACTACCAAGCTGACCAATCGCAGAGCTTGCGCTATGAATCGTTGTGACATGTAGTTACATTTTTTTGAGAGGCGTTAGCCACGGCAAGGGCTATTCGACTGCATGAAGGTTGCACCGGAGCATACGCATGCGCTTGATGCAGAAGTATAAATCAGCCTTTAGTCACACTAGACAACCCAATTTCCACATATGACTGGCCAGTGCTATACCGCAAGGTCGTCCGGTCTCATGCGGCTGCTGGTCCCGCTGCTCTTACTAAACCTTCGCTTGTCCTCAAAATCACTGCTTAGGAATGAAGGTGAGGCACAGGAGTTGGGAGTCTCTGTAGGTGTCTGTGAGAAGCTCAAGAAGTTGACCCCCAAGTAGTCTTGTCCTCTGTGCCTTTCAGTGACCATGTTTGCAGAGTTCTGCTGGTGCGCCAGTCGGTCGTGAAATGGAGGGCAGGTCGGATGTAAAAGTGAGTGTGTCTGTAAAGTAGGAGAAGATGGCGGCGAGGTCAAGCATTGGTTGAAATCTGGAGGTGGGGTGCAGGCTCGGTTTGGGGTGGACGGATTTGGTGAAAGTGCAGGCATGGTGGACGGCGTGTTTGGTCGTTGTTTGGAAGCCTTGTATCCGTGCACATACTTCCTCAACTGCTTCCATGCCAAATGATACAGTTCCACGATACTAAGCAGCAGTGACACCGCTGCTACTGCTAGCATGAAGACAATGAACACGTTCTTCTCTGTTGGTCTGGAGATGTAGCAGTTGACCGGATGTGGACACGGAGGGGCTTTACACACATAGAGTGCACTAAGGAAGACTCCGTAGATCAGGTACTGGATTATGATGAAGATCACTTCCATCACAGTGCGGATGAGGATGCTGAGGACGTATGTTTGCAGCAACGCACCCTTCAATCGTACCCTCCTACCTCCACCTTCGTCCTCCTTGTTCTTGTCATCTTCTGGGTACTTTTCTCCATCTCTCTGCGCTCCTTCATCATCCAGCTCTTTCCTCTTCTTCTCCTCTCGGCGGACGATATGCATTGCGTGCCCCATGTAGATCAGAGAAGGTGTAGACACGAACACGATCTGGAGCACCCAGAAGCGTATATGCGCTATAGGAAAGGCTCGGTCGTAACAAACGTTCTCGCAGCCGGGCTGCTCTGTGTCGCAGGTGAAGTCTTCCTGCTCGTCCCCCCACGAGGATTCAGCAGCCGTGCCTAGTACCAAGATCCGGAAGATGAAAAGAATAGTGAGCCACACCTTTCCCACCGAGGTTGAATGCTCCTGGACTTCTTCTAGAAAGTTCCCCAGCAGACTCCAGTCGGCCATGCCTATTCAGAGGAGCCTGAGGTGGAAATAAGAGGTAGTGTGAATGGAAGGGAGAAAGTAACCGTTTTATACAATGATTTGCCTAATTAGCCTAATTTGCCCAATTAACCTACAGTTGAAGTCAGAATTATTAGCCCCCCTTTGCATTTTTTTTCTTTTTTAAATATTTCCCAGATAATGATCAACAGAGCAAGGAAATTTTCACAGTATGTCTGATAATATTTTTTTCTTCTGGAGAAAGTCTTATTTGTTTTATTTTGGCTAAAATAAAAGCAGTTTTACATTTTTTGAAGCCCATTTTAAGGTCAAAATTATTAGCCCCTTTAAGCTAATTTTTTCGATAGGCTACAGAACAAACCATCGATATACAATAACTTGCCTAATTACCCTAACCTGCCTAGATAACCTTGCTTACGCCTTTACGTCACTTTAAGCTTTATAGAAGTGTCTTGAAAAATATCTTGGGAAATATTATTTACTGTCATCATGACAAAGATAAAAATGGGAGAAAATTCTGTTTTACAGTCCTTTTTTACCTGTTTTAACGAGATTAAGGAATGGCTGGCTGGTAATTTTTTACACTTGAATAAATCAAAAACTGAAGTACTAGTGTTTGGTCCTCCGGGTGTCTGTGAATCTACAATTAATCAATTAGGTTCGATCAAGCCTAAGGTCCACAGTCACGTAAAAAAAAAATCTTGGAGTTACTTTTGACACTGAGTTAAAGTTTAACAAGCAAATAAACTCAGTCGTCAAAAGTGGTTTCTATCAATTAAGGAACATTGCCAAATTGAAGCCTTTTTTTCTTTTAAAGAGCTGGAAACCATCATTAATGTTTTTATTATGTCCATTGGACTACTGTAACTCTTTGTATTCAGGAGTTTCACAGGCATCAATTGCACGCTTGCAGCTGGTTCAGCTGCTAGGCTTTTAACTGGGACAAAAAAAAAATTCTAGTATCTCACCAGTTTTATCATCTCTTCACTGGCTCCCAGTCCAATTTAGAATTCAATATAGATTATTGCTACTTGTTTTTAAAAGTTTGAATGGTCTGGCACCTATTTAGATCTCTGAGCTTCTTCACTGGCACACTTCATTGAGGCCAATCAGGTCCGAAAACACGTTTCAGCTAGTTGTCCCCAAAACACGATTGAAATCAAGAGGTGACAGGGCTTTTTCTGCTGCAGCCCCCCGACTGTGGAATGGTCTGCCTTTACATATCAGGCCATGTTCTTCACTTGGTGCTTTTAAGTCTCATCTAAAAAATCACCTTCTGTCTCTTGCCTTTGATTGTAATTAATTAATTTTAATCTGATTTATATATTTTGCTTAATTTTTATATATAGGTATAGATTTTGTATGCTGGTCTTTTTGTAAAGCACTTTGGTCAACATCTGTTGTTTTTAAATATGCTCTATAAATAAAGCAAACAACAAACAAACAAAATAAATCGGTTATTAGAGATGTGTTATTAAAACTATCATTTTTTTAAAATGTGTTGAAGAAATGATCACTCTGTTACCCAGAAACTGGGGAAAAATAAATAGAGGGCTAATAAATCTGACAGAAAATTATATATATATATATTAAGTTGGTGTCTTTTCTCCATACATTGTACAGGGTGGTCATTGGTAATCAACTTGTTTTATGGTTTCCAACAACCATTCAAATAATTATGTTTTTATGGTTATATAAATGATCATGGACACATTTAGGGTTACAGTATTTAGACTATTTATCATCATGTGTCAAAAAAGACTCATTTAGCCACTAAAGAAAAGAGAAAACTTTTAGACAAAGAAGTGAATTGTCCTTTTGATGAAGTTAAATTGGAGTCTATATCATTTGTATGCTTTTATTTATGTGTGTCATGCTTCATCCACACCAGCAGGTGTCAGAATGAAATCTTACTGACAGAAATTAACATTAAATCGCATTCTTGTTTGCAATATGCTGTAGTAAAGTTTAGAAATAAAATCAGACTCTATTTAAAACTTGTCCTCTGACACCTTGTTGCAAATCTAAGTTCATTTTTGTCATATTACCACACAATTTGTAGAATAAATCCAGAAAAGGATGCTAAATAAAACAGCAAATATTACACTCTGAATGTATCAAATTCAGCCTGATGTATCTTATATCTCATGCAATTATAAAGCAAGGATCTTCAGAGATGTTTGAGTTCATTCTCAAAAAAACAGGGTCAATGATGTCAGCCATTCAGAGACTGTATATTTAGGTTTTTGTTTCTTTTCAATACAAACGTTTCCCACACACACAAGCGCTGAGAGTCTGGGAAAAGCTGGAGAAAGAATTTAAGGAACCTACAGCTAAAAATACGCAAAGATGCTGATATTTACTGGCATTTTCTGAGTATTCAGTAGCGGAGGGTTTCCTGTTAGTCTTAAGCCAAAGGGAATAGCGTTGCTGTCAGTGAAATTAGATTTTGGATCCTTAAAAGACGATAAATCTGTTTATATTACTATAATTACATTACTATAAATCTGTTAAATGCAAGCATTATATTAAAGAGCGCTTTTAGCTAAACAACAGAATTAAGACTCAATTGAAGTGCTAAAGCTTATGAAATGGTAGTGTCGTGGGAAATGTTTGATTCAGATGTTTCCTTGAGGGCAGATTGATGTTACACAAACATCATGTGTATCATTTTTGATTTAGTACTTCTGTTCCGTCTTTGTGCAGCAATTAGCAGTGACAAAGTGTGAGATTGTTCTTTACTGCTCTATGGATTAAGACAAGTTTAGTGTCAGTTTCTCAGTCCTCCAGGGGCTTTTTATGGTAGCCCAGAATACTCTTTATCATGAGAACTTGAGTAAAACGTCTCTGTGTGTGTGTGTGTGTTTAAGCGGCAGTTTGTCTGTGGGAAGCATTG